CTTTATTATGTTTTTTTCATCACTCAAAAGGTACTACTCACAGAATGTTTTCTTCTCCTCTTTTAAGTTGAACAATTTTAAAGAATGATGTATGATTATATAAATGTATAATATAAATCAAAAAACTAATTAACAGAGTATATGATAACTTACTTAGTACCGGTATATAGTATTATCTATAGTATGGTATATACACTAATATATTCTACTAAAGATATAAACACAGAACATGTGTTCAAAGGTGACCAATGAAACAATTACTATATTGTTAATAATGAACAGATGACACATTTTCTATAAATAAAAATAGCAAAAAAGGAAGCCATGCTGTTAAAAATTTGATCCTGAAAAATGTTGTCTTTTTTCCAAAAGTGATAGAAGTTTGGAAAATAAAAATTACCCTATTGGTAACTTGTAACAAAGGAATGTGTCTCGTAGGTCATGAGTTCCTGCTTGTGTTTATTCAGGTGGAACGAATGTGGAAGGTATATATACCCTAATGTTGATATCAGAGATTAAAAAAATTACATGGTATATGGCAATGCAAAAGGAATACACCCTTGTATTGATATTAGAGATAAAAAACATACATGTATATGGCATATGGCAATGCAAAGGGTATATTTATCCTAGTGTTGATATCAGAGATAAAAAAAAATATGACGAATGTTTTTTAATTGTGTTCAGCTTTGAAATTTGTTATGGTTTTAACGTACCCCGGTAGTTGTATGTTTTTTAATGTAGTGGTATATGATAAAGACAATTTCAATCATAAATACTGGTTTGAAATATAAAACAGAGAAGAATAGAATGGTTAACAAGAACATGTAATGGCTATGAAAAATTACAAAAGATATACTGGGCTATTTGTCCACTTTTCATAAACTGCTGATAACCTTTGCAAATTTTTAATGATTTTCATCATTTCCAAAATTGATGTCCATACATTTAATCACATAATGAATTTCCGTTCGTTACTTTCCTCTGAGGACAAGAATTTCTGAATCAAACTTCTTTTAACTAATTATTTACATATATCTGATTTTCTTCACAATACCATTGGAACACTCAACAACAAAGACATTGCCTCTGGTGTCTGCACATAAGTCCCATGGCAGCTTTAGAAGACCATTATCAATGAAACTAAGGAACTGTCCATCCTGATCCAGGATGTGGATACAGTTGTTGTCACAGTCTGCTGTCAGGATCTGACTCTGATTGTCTGTAGTGATGCCGACTGGACCAAAGGATCCCTTAGAAATAGAGGGAGAACCTTCGGTATACGGTTATTTATCTCACAAAAACAACTCTGCGTCATGTATAAGTAATTTACATTTACAGATTTTACACGCTGTGTACTCAGGATTTTTTAAATATTAAACTCTAGATATTTGTAAACAAATATTTATTTACTTTTGTCAAATTATATATCATTTTTTATAACACCCCACCCAAAGCTATAATAATAATGAACATTATCTAGGGTCATATATCATAGGCTTAGCCACCCCCCTTTTTTTTTACAATGATATACATAATATAGGGCTCATTAGGCCAGAAAATTGGGGCTTACGTTTTTGTGTTGGATTGTATATTTTAAAACCACCACAACTGCTTTGGCCTTATTGTCAGCAACACAGATGTCCAAGTTTCTGTTCTCACTAATGCATTTACAGTAACCAAGCGAGAATAGAGTTTTATGGTCGCTATCAAACTGAATTGTTTGTTTCTGTGTAGATCCAGAGTAACGGACAACCTTAGCTTGTTCACCATTTTCGCTGACCATAGATACCAAAATGTCTTCAGATGAGGTATTACAGACATTGTAAGGTATCCACCCCTGTAGTCTGATAACTTCCTGTATCTGTTCATTCTTCACTATGTTAACCGTTCTTGTATCAGGGTCAGAATAAACAAGATCCCCTCTCCTTGTGACCGCTATGTCACGTGGTGACTTTCTCGACTTGGTTCTAATTGATTTTATTAGTTTGCCCTGGAGGCTGTACAGTTTCATGATATTGTCGGACCCACCTGTCCAGATTTCTTCATCACTGAGACAGGTAACACTGTGTAGCAAGTACTCATTTCCAGTGTCTATGCTGGTGAGGAACTCTGGTTCTTCAAGCAGTGGTGTCATTCGAGGAGAGGATACAACTTCTGTCTTTGTGGTTTGGTCATTCTCTTCTGTTGAAATGGATAATGGCGACAAAGAACCAAATAAATGAGAACATTGATCTGGATTAACATTTTCAGTAAACACCGGAAACTCAACTTTTGGATTGGATGGAAGATTGGTGAATTTTTCTGCTTCTATCTCATATGAAAGTGATTTTGAAACTTCCTTGGATTGTAAAATATCCTCAATTTCTGAAATATACAGTTTGACATCAGCAATAAGTTTCTTTGTATCATCTAGATTTTTATTCAGTGTGTCCCTATGCTGGATTCTCATCTCGTTAATTTCGTCTTTGTTTTTCTGAATAGCAATGTCAACTTTTCTTCGCCATTCTTCTCCATGCTGTGTGACTTCCGATGTAAGTTTTTCATATTTTCCGTCTATTTCATCTAACTGGGTTTCAATATCACTAACTCTTTCCTCCAACTTTGGATAAACTGTTTCCTGCAATCTTTTCCTTTCCTTTTCAATAACTTCATTCTTTGAGTTTACTAAATCCTTTACGCTTGTTATATGATGTCTTTTATGTTTTTCAGACATTACACATTTTGGACACGTCGGGATGTTGCAATCATCACAATACATTTCGCAATTTTCTTCAGAATGGGTTTGGCACTGAGGGTATACAAGTTTGGATCTCCTCAAATCAAAAAGTACAAATCATGCTTTTTAGATGCATCAAAGATGTGCTTTCCAACACAACCCATACACAAATTCATTGAACACAAATTACAAAACAGTTGTACAAAGGTCACATCTAATGATTTCCTGAGCACGAATACTGGGATCCATTTTGTAGATTTTTGCTTTGGTTCTGTTATATATAATAAGTCTATGACTAAAATGACCATAAAAATTCATGAAATAAAAGAGAAGTATATAAAGTACTTAGGCTAGAAAAAAAAAATTATACATACATGAAATTATTCCTGCTTTAGCAGTGAAACTCTTCTCAATCAATAAAAAAAAACACCCCTATTTAATCTTATCATCATTATTATCTACATTGAAATAATATCAGTTGATTATTTAATCATTATGTGCATGTAGCAGGTGTAAAGGACACAGTGTACATTAATGTTATAATCAACTCAAATGTAAATTGATAACACAGTGTTCCACTTTTAAACATTTCAAACTATTTATGCGATAGATTATTATTGTATTTATATAAGATTGAAATAAAGGATAAATCAACATTGACATCATCAGTACACAAAAACATTTCGTAATTCTGCGATTGGGTAGTGAAAGGTCGCAACTAAGTTCATTTTCCGAGTATGATTAACTCGCATTGATCAATATTTTAATGAAGTACGAAATATTTTATTTAACCATGGGAGAGGATCGTATATTTTGGCCTTGGTTTACGGCGATGAATGGTGTTTTTCATTCTATGTATTAGGCCATTTTTTGGCACACTGCATTTTTTTTTTAAGGATTTATCTTTCGCCCAATCAGGACAAGAAGCACACATTGATTGTGACCTGTAGGCAAGGGATGTTCATTCCTCAGTGGCACCAGATCTCACTGCTTATGTTTTTAGAGGTCCGTGTTTGCTGTTCTCCAAATCTGTATTGTTTTGAGCCTGAAAACTGATAATTATCTTCATATTTCAAATGTTGGAGACGGCGTATGGATCTATGATCATTTGTGTCATTCTTTTCTTATATACAGTAAAACTCGGTAATATAGAAGTCACGGGGACCTATAAAATTACTTCGCTATATCCATAATTCGTTATATCCGTATAAGGAATACGTTAAGTTCACATAGCTGGGGATCCAAGATAACTTCGGTATATTCGTGAATTCGCTATATTCGTGTTCGTACTAAACGAGTTTTACTGTAGCATATTTAATAGAAAAATAATTATTAAAAAGTCTTCAATCTGGTTAGTAATTCAAAACTGGAAACTTAAAAATAGTACATACAACAAAAAGGATTCTAATGTATATTACTTAAAAAAAATCAACAAAGTTTCAATACAGTTAAAACATGACCTACATGTACATCATAATACATCAATTGAACAGTTCGCTGCCTACAGTTCAAAGTGTAAATTATAAAAGTATCAACACTACTTTCGACGATCCATTTACAGACTACTCGTATTTGACTGGCAACCTGTGTTAATAAAAGTTCTTTCCCGATCAAGACAAGGAGTACATGGTGGGTGTTACAGGTCGGCAGGGGATGCTTACTCCTCCATGACACCTGACCCCAACTATGATGTTTTAGAGTTCTGTGTCTACCCTGCTCCAATTTTGTTGTTAAATGAAAGTTAGAGTCTGAAGAGTATTGGTTATATATATCCACATTTTTCGTTTAATTTTTCATCTGCTGAGGTAGGCAATATGTTAGATTGATACTAAAGGTATTTGCCAAATAATCAGTACAAATTCAAGGATATTTTGTGAGAGTATGGTTCGATACATTTATTGTTGTATAACATCTTTTATTTCATTTGTTCATCTGAACATTTTTGTTTTAAGTAAAATAGATAGGCCGACAAATCTTTCCTAGAAAATCTTAATTGTAGGCATATGCTCTATGATGATATTCTTGATTATTCTAATCTACTACACTGTGATACATGCTTTAGGTGTGTATAAAATACTTGTTTGCCAAAATGTCGATTTGCTAAAATAAGTTTCGTTTTCTATCAAAACATTTTCGGAAAATTTTGAATTATTCCTAGGATTTCTTCTTTTTTTACAACAAATGCATGGTTTAGTTGCCAGTCAAAATAATAAATACATGTATGAAAAAATTTGGAAACAAGCCAAATAAAAAAAAACTCTTAATTTCTTAATTTCTACTGGTGATACCGTAGTAAAATATGAAATCAAATTATTAAAACAGTAAATCAATCAAAATGTTTATCATCAGTGCAGATTGATATAATGCAAAAAAAATCCGTATATTGTTATTCAGTTATCATACAATGTCGCATTATTTCTTAGAGACTCTTTGATACACTCGTTTTCCGACAACCAAAGGCGACAATAGAATAAACTCTATCAGTTCCATCAGAGTCAACAGACTAGCGCCGAGAAATATTCCCATCTGACCACCTAAAATACCTGTAAATGTAAATCATTCATAATAATTTTATTTTAATTTCATTAAAAGTAAAATAAAATCTTGATAAAAGAAACGAATGAACTCGCTCATAGATTATGTCTTATATTAATATGTGAATTTTTATAACTTTTTTTCTATTTTCAAGATTTCATGTCATGGAGCTGGTCTTCAGTAAGTTCTGTTTTTCATCTCAAACCTTTGGATTCAATGCCGAGTCACGATCGACTCTTTCTTGTTTTTGCGATATGGATAATGAAAAATAATATACTAGATACACATTAAATTTCAATTGTTAGGTTTTTCAAAACAACATTACATTTCACTATTATAATTTCTTCCAAGCTGAGGGTGGAATAAGAGTAGCTGCATTTTATAACGACAAAAGTATTGCAAAAACAGTTTAATACTACATGTACTACCGGCATAACAATCCAGGTAATTTAATTATTATCAAAATAATTTAATGCACTGCGTAACAAATGAATGACGTACCCACAATATCTCCAAAACTGTATTCCGGTACCTGTTCCACTTTCAAGTATCCCAAGGACTCGAAATAAATTGCTAGTTCCATATAGGTGTCCCTGTGATCACAGGTTAATAAAAAGTGAACAAAAGTCTAATATATTTCAAACTTTTCTATAGCTATGTATCAATGGATTTCAAATTCTCACTTTTACCAGATATCAAATTTTGCTTTACAATGTCTTTTACTAGAAATCAGACGTAACTAGATAGCAAGTTTTATCAGATACCAAACTGTCTATTACTTAATTATACACGTAATACTTTCATAAATTATATATACTGGGTTAATTTCGCCCTGTGTTGCACTTGCAGACAATTTCGAAATGTTTGATTTTCGCCCAATTTAAAGCCTATTTAAGACATATTTCTGTAATCCTTGAATTCGTCCATTATTTATTTGCACAACTGTGAGTAAAGCGCAGGAGCGAAAATAAAACTGGAGCGAACATTTCTATCGTACAGTATACATCAATGTCGTTTCCCTCATCGGTATATGAAACCTTCATTGTTATTTGACATCAAATAAATCGATATATTTAAACAATGTTCTTCAGAATAAAACTAGGAAATATTCTCCTTCTACGTTCACTTCGTTCATCTCTTCATTCTCCTTTCTTTTTTCGTGAAGACCATTATGCAATTAAATACTTTCACGACAAAATAAAAATAAAATAAAATATATAACACTCAATTAATTAATTTAATTAATAATCAAAAGCACTTACCGAAAATTGGTAAATCCCATTTGAGAGAGAACGGCCTGGTAATTCATAGCGGGAAAATATCCTGTTGATAATCGTGCGTAATATTCACTGTACTCACATTCGACTGTGCATGCGCAAAGATGTTGGGCGGTGCTATTTTTGTCAAATTTCTCTGTTAAGACAAGGCAACAAAACTGAAAATTTTTTTATTGATTAATTCTTAATAATTATCAATAATCTATTATTTATTAATAAACAATTAATCACTAAATTAATAATAATTTATAATGATTTTTTTTAAATAGTTACACTTTATCAATTATATAAAAATGCTCATTTTAAAGAAAACAGTGAAATTCAATGCATGTAATAAGGATGTGAATATGTTGAAGTCCTTAAACAAATTTAAAAAAAAAAGGTAGAAGTCAAATCTTTTCTCGTACCGCTTTCAACATCGTAGCACGTTGACATTTTTGCAAGCGAACATATGGTTTCTTTTCCTGCAAAGAAAAGAATTTCAAAAGTACTAGAATTGGTTATGTTTCTCTCCAAAAAATACAGTAAATTCTTTACCAGGATTACACAGAATCGTGTTTCCCGTCTATAAACAGAAATCTAGCTTAGACAAAAATACAGCTAAATGATGAGATGAAATATGTGGATATAACGAACAGTATTCCTGCTTAAAAGATCATGAAACATTACAAAACACCAGCAGGACAAACAAAGACCTCTAAAACATCAGAGGTGGGATGGGATCAGATGCCATGTGGAATTGAGCATCCTCTGCCGACCGGTGACACCAGCCGCATCACATTTTAACGAATGAAGAATAAATGAAGAATAAAAAGATTTTTTTCAATGAATTTCAACTGCAGTACTAGTACTTCAAATTGTTTTCGATATTTAAGGATAACTCACGAACTAGTAGAAACATGAAAAAATCCATCGATCGACAATTCAATGGCCTAACAATTACATTTTTGATTGTTCTTGAGATATTTCACAATTAATAATTTATCCTTTATTTTTAAAGGCATTGAATAACAAGAATTTAAATAATAGAATAATAGAATTTGTTTGTTGTGCCTCGAGGTATGGTTGTATGACATAACAAACAAGCCGCACATATATAAAAACTCACATTCATGCTATGCAGAACTAAACATGTACATGTGCCAAACTGGAATTTATAACTTACAAACATAAGCGAATTTAAATTAAACATTCCCATACATACCCATACATACCTTTATCAAATGGTGACCTGCATCCACATAGTTTGATCACGTGATTTTGTTTACACTCCATCATGCACGCGCTTTTGCTGTACACGTCATAGAGCGTCAGTGGATTTGTAAAGGCTGCAGATTTTGTGTTCAGACAGAACTGGTCTCCATTTATCTTATATGGGCTTGGCAAGTAATGATACTTCATAAACGAAAGAAAAAAAGTTATAGAGTCTTTCATCTTAATCAAATGTTACTTTGCAAAGATTAAAGCTTCATTCTAACTTATAGATAAATCAACCAAGAGAAATCAAGTAGAGGTAAAGCTTCGTTTTAACTAATAATAGATAAATCAACCTAGAAAAATTAAGTTGACATCTGTATATCTGTTCAATAAAAATTAGTATCTGTTAAAATGACAATAACAATCAAGCAGATTCATGGAAATAAATTGATTAATGTTGAATATGATCTTGATCTTGTTTGTATTCTTACGCCATGATCGTATGGCCTGTAATTATAAGTTTACACATTTTGTTGCTCTTTTGTAATCAATAAACAATATGCATGTATCTTTATTTTAGGAGTTTTTTTTTTCAGAGGTACATTGATAGATAATTCTTTACTGGAAAACTGTATCCTGTTGAGTCTTTTTGTTTGAGAAAAGTTAAGACCTACTTCTGTTTTATGAATGGAGGCAAACGTAGAGAAGCCAGGAGAAATCATGAAGCCTTTGTCAACGACATCCGGTTCCTCGTTCTGATCATGGATTACAACCTGAACATAAAAACAATGTTAAAATAACAATGTGAAAACCAATATTTTTTCTCTGTGATAACTCTGAAAGTTAGTTGAATTGATTTCTTGATCATTCTACGGGAATGTATATATATCGCTTGCAGATACAATGGGAGATAAGGCCTAATATGCATGTAAATCGTTTCCAACTATTATTGATGCTGTACTAACTAAACAGAGATTCCTTAAATAACTCTCATCTTTTGAACGCATTTATAGACCTATTGACTAGTTGTCTCGACCTCTTTAAGTTAATTAATTGCAAGTATTGATATTCAATGTTTAAACTAATTTGCTGATTGATTTTTAATCGACGATTAATGAACATCATTGATAAAGCATTTTAAAGTACCGGGTACCTAACAAAAGCAATGGAAATCCCATTGATAAAATAAATACCTTGAGGGACTAATTATTAAAAATAATAAAGATTTCATTGATTAACTGTCCCTAAATATTACAAATGTTATCGTAAGGAATTAATACCCTTGATCATTTTGACATTCTGGTCATAATGAATGCATGTCAATATTTAAAATATCATTCAGGCAACAATCTTGTTAATTATAATAAGGTTGGTCTAACTGTTCATGATTTTATTTCAACGCAGATCTATCTGTTCAAAGACAAACATCGTACGTAGATGTCATGTTTTGAGCCTTCAACAAAAAAAAACATAAGGAATATTATATAAAGATATCATAAAGAGCTCCAGATTTCCAAAATTCCATATACTAACGGTTTCTTGAAACCTATTGGTGTTCGATTTAGATTTCCGTATTTTTAGTTTACTGAATATTGGGGGGGGGGGGGGTCACAAGATAAAATTTATTATGAGAGTGTGTTTGTTTGAATATTTTTTTTTGTTTCTGTCTTTGAGTTTTTATATTTCACAGTTAGACGGAGAAGACGATTGTATCTTTTAAAGAAAGAAATTAGTTTCACGGTATCTAGTTCTCATCAAATTATATTATAAGTTTAGTAACAGAGTTCTTTATTCACTTTATTCTATATTGAGGCTATTGATGTAAATATTCACATAATTATCCTTTCAAGTTATCCCGTTGATGTGGCTGTAGACAAACACAAAAAAAAATATAGGCTTAAAAGGTAAATATCCTAGTATATCATATTTATTAACTCATCCAATTCGTTCTGTAAATAAATCTCAAAGAATGCACCGAATGACTTCAAATTGGATTGCGTTTATATTTCTGAAAATAATATTGTCAGTAAATGCTGCAATGAATTTTCTGAAAGGCTTTCAAGTACCCCGGTAATTTAGTGAATGAAATAAAAATACTATTATTTCATAGTTAAGAGTACCTTTGAATACACTCCGATTAGTTTTTATAGGATATTAGAAAAGCATTAAAGAAGGGGAAACTATTATAATAAATAGAACGTTGCTTCTGTTTATCTAAACTTCAGGAACTCAGTTTCTCCGTTCTGTCCAGCAGCCTGTCATATCAGTATTCAATGAATTATGTTTACGACTGTAAACACTTAATCTTTTCAACTGTTGTCACATTAAATGAAAAATATGGAGATAACGAACCGTATTCAAGCTCAGACGTGTATTAAACAATACAAATTAAGAGCAGACCAAACATGAACCTCCAAAACATCAGATGTGGAATCAGGTGCAATGGAGGAATAAGAATCCCCTGCCGACAGGTCACACCTGCCGTGTATTCCTTGTCATAATCGGGGAACACCGGAATTATTAACCAAAAAAGTTATTTATGCATGTCCAGATAAAAATAATATGAATGCGAAACTATATATGATAATGGTAATAAATAAGACAATTTAAGTACATGTAATAAAAAATAGATTAAAACGATCTTGGCCAATATATATACCATAATCCTTTTTTATGTATACCTTTATTCCCGCAGCCATGATATCGTTGTAGACAAAGTTCTGTTGATCAACCTTGAGATATAGCTGTAAACCTGACGAGCTTCCGGTTCGTGATGTCACAATGTGATTATTTTCTTCAACATACTCCCGACTATTAAATGTGTAACAAACTCCTAATTTTGTAACAATTGGTTTCATCACGTCATGACAATCTTTTGACTCTCCCTCAAAGAAGCAGTAAAGAAATAAATCTTCTACTTTGTTCGATGTTTCATTTACCCATGATGCATTTCGTGGAAGATGGTAGTCCGAATATTCTGATTGGCTTAAATTCAACCTAGGAAAAAAGCCACCAATCACACTCTCCGTTAGAAGAAAGTATTCAAGATTGAGGATCTTGGGAAGGGCTTCTCTCTTTAATGAAGAAGCGCTGCAGAGAGTGACGGCCGGAAATTTTACACTACTTTCCGTCTGCACATGAGTGTTGGTGATGGTTGGATATTTGAAGTAGTTGGTAAATTGCTCATACGTCGTGTACACCAGGAATGATCCCATAGCAAGCAATGCAACGGCCCATATACCACTGTTAAGAAAAAGCACATATATTGTAAAGCTTTAGTATATTACTGAGAAATCACGAATTTTCGTTGGGAGTTTATTTTCGTTGTTTTCGGGTATGGAGAAACCCTCAAATTCATGACCACAACGAAATGTAAAATTCCAAATGCATTACTACTCAACAATTCTCCAACCACGAAATAAAACAAACGAAAATTCGACCCTACGAAGTCTGTTTAATTAAATCGAGTGATTTGTCCTTTCTTAAACATTCAAAAAAGAATGTACATGTGTGACGCATTTGTGAAATATAAAAACGAAAATTGCTCCTTTGCACTACACAAGATACTTGTCCATTTTTTTGTTTTGTTTTACCTATTACATCATGACGTTCAAAGACTTAAAAAAAACATTTTTACGTTGGAAAAAAAATTAAATTCATATATTCCAAATAGGACTATCTACTCATTAATTAGTGGTATATTTTTGTTCTTTTGTATTCTATTTAACAGTTGGTATTGAATACTATGATAAAGTCAAATTATGTGAGTGTATAGTTGTTTGGTACTAGAGTCATTTGATCTCACTTCAGACGAAACAGAGGTTGAAATTCAGGATGCAATAACATTAATAAAATATGAGATGAAGGCTTCAAACGGTCATCAATGTTGACAAGTAGTGATATGAGAGTTGATTGATTTGGCATAAGGTATCATTTAAATCAGTAAATTGAGATAGGTGTTGTTTAATAGAAACTGAATCCCACTTTAATAGATTCGTATAACTCTACAGAATTCAAAGATGGTAATAAATCAAGATCAACTAAACTGGAAATGCAATTCAAGATATTTTAAGGATAAGGTAGAGACCAACATCTTTGGATTTTTTTCTATTTCAATTTCAATATTTGGGAATTAACATGTGTTTTTGGCTATAAGTACATTTGAAAACAATAATTTTATACAATGGGTAGCCTATGTCAAAAAGATATAGGAAAATCGACCCTTTGGTATTTTAATGACACTCGCAAAATACGGCTACAATTTTAATATAAGCATTCATATCGAAAAACTTCATGTACGCACTTCATAACATATCATAACCCTATAACTATAGTTTTGCTGGACTGCTGGTGACGTAAATATTGTTAATAATGAAGATCTGAGAACATTTATTTTCAAGGGTCCTAATTATAGAAAATCCCGATCCTTCAACTGGCGTCGGAATTACATAAATATTATGAATTTTGTTGAAGATTACGCCAGGCGATGGGCCATGCAGATATGAAAAACAAGACGTTGACACTTCGTCAGAATGAATAAAATGTTCCAGATCTATGTTACAATCTCGTATTAAAAAGTTTAGGGGTAATAAGAATACCATCTATATCCTCCTGTATTCAATAATCCAGAAGTGAAACAAAAATTAGACAGATTACATGATCAATACGTACTGGTCCCTGCTGACACAGCAGGTAACAACATTGTCTTCGTTTGTAAGGCTCATTATATAAACTGCATTTTAGAAAAACTTTGATTTAATTCTACAAGTGGTAGTCCAACTTATGCTCATAGTTCCCTTTCTAAGGCAGGCATTCTTCTAAATCATGTGTCAGTTTTGAATATTTTTAAGATCCCAAGGAACCATGCAAATTGAATATGAACTACCATATCTATATTGGATTCCGAAACTTAATAAGAATCCTCACATACAAAGATACATAGTAGGTTCCAGTAAAATTTCAACCAAGCCTCTTTCTTTACTCTTCACTAAGATAATAACAGTAATGAAGTAAAAACTTCAAGAGTACTCTGTGCAACAATATTCAAGAAGTGGTGTAAATCAAATGTGGATACTTAATAATCCCCAAGAACTTTTGAACAATTTGAAATCACAAGATTTTACCAAAATCAACAGCTTTTCAACTTTATACAAAACTATTTCGAGGGATTAAGGTAGTCCGATCCTCAGGTTTATAAAATTAGCAGTTAAGTAATCAAAAATACTCATAAAAGTATCTCTGAATCCATAAAGTTAGGTAAATTTATCCACAGTTTTTCTTTAAAGTTAAACATTAAAGTTAATCATATTATATAGGGAAAATTGTCAATTCTCCAATATTTTTGCAGAAAAAGCGAATTGGAATATCAGCAATGCATTTTTTAATCGCAAATTGATCAACAAATATATTTTAAGTTAAAAAACGATAGGTATCCAAGCATTCAGAGAAATTGTCATGATTTTTTATACTTATTTGGTATTCTTTATCTTGTATTTCCGTCATGTATTCTATAATACATAGTGTAAAAGGTTTTTGCTATCATTGCTAGACACCACAAATCACTGACACTTCTTATTTTATATCATGATAATAGCATCAAATTGGTATCTAAGGCTGGATTCAAGAAAATCTTATTTCTCTAAAACTGTATTGATTTTTTTTTCTCTTATAGAGTACAAATGTCAACTTTTATGAGATTTTTTCTAAGACTTCCAAAAACATTGAATCTTATAAAGATGAATAAAATGAAAATTGTTGCATGTAAAAATTTCATTTTCAAGCTTCATTTTGATGTATTTCAAATCAAATATTAATTTTTGGAGTAATCCTTCCTGGCTGAGGATCGGATATCCTTAATTAAAGTCCTGGTTTTTGATAGCATTGACAGCTGCTTTTACAATAAAAAGGGAACTAGTAAATTTACTTACCTTGTCATTGGACATTTAAAAATTATTTTGTTAAAAAACATTTTGATTATACACACAAACACACTGAAGTTGACATGAAAAAAATGCTTACGTTAATGATTGACAATATCTATCGTATGTGGTTTTTGGAGATCAGGTCTTGCAACAATCTATTTGAATTCCCATGGGTACCTATTGCGCCCTGTTATTAGCAGACCTATTTTGTATTCATATGAAGCAGAACTTGTCCAAAATCCTATACGTGAAAAGAACAAACACTTGCTGTGGCCTTCAAATCGACATTCAGATATATCGACGACGTATTGTCAATTAACAATGGAATTTCCATTCTCATGTCGATACGATATACCTCGGTGAGTTTGAGATAAAAGATAAAAGATGGTAAAGTAACAACCAAACTCTGTGATTAAAGTGATGACTTATACTTTTCAATCGCCAACTTCCATTACTTATGCAGCAATATACATGTACCTTCATCACCTGCATACAGAGTTTATATATCTCAGTTGATTCGATACGCAAGAGAATGCTCTACGTATGAACAATTTCTAAATCAAGGAAAATTACTAACAAACAAATTGATGAAACAAGAAAGTCAGTAGTCTCTTTTAAAGTCATTATTTCGAAAATTCTATGGCCGATACAATGACCTTATCAGCAAATACAATTTATCATGGAGTCAAATGCTTACTGACGTTTTTCATACAAATTGTTAGTCCATTATTTATAAAATGAATTGACGACAGATTTTTCCATTATTTTCCGATCATGACAAGGAGTACATGGTGGGTGTGTCCGGTCAGCAGGGGATGCTTACTCCTCCATGGCACCTGATTCCACCTCTGATGTTATGGAAGTCCATGTTTGCTCTGGTCCTATTATGTATTGTTTTCTGGACTTTTGATCTTGAATACTGATCGTTATCTCCACATGTTCCCGATTTGTATTGTTTTAAATTGATTTGTGAGTTTGATTACTATTCGTTATCCTCATGATCCTTGTATGTCTTCGGATTCAACATTTGCCCTTTAATTCTTTTACAATTTATATATTAGAAAGTCGATGCTTACCATCGTAGCCTGTATCGCTGTCTAAGATTGGCATTTTTCAGTCCGTGCATCGTCGTGTTGTCCCGGAAGTCATTCCAGAGTTCCTGTATGTTCCCATCATCCGGACATATCTTTTCGCTCTCATTTACCACGGGTCCATCAATTACTTCCGGTTCCGGAAGCGTTTGATTTGGATTATCCGAAACATGAAACACGTGAGGACTAATTTTTCTCACATCTTGATTTCTTTTATTTCCCGTGTTTGTTAAAGGTTGGACAAGTATAGTCTTCATTTTGTTTTACACCTAAAATTAAAGTTTTATGTCACATGTATTTCCAAAGAATTTTTATATTGATCCGTAATGAAATGAAAAACTCGTCTTCTAAGTTTAAGAATAAGATATAATAATTTAGGATAAACAGCATACTTTGTTGAATGATATTTGCTATGTATGGTTAACAAATAGATAAAACTTCTGTGACAACTGAAAGAAAAGAAAAGAAAACATTATTTACTCAATAAACTTCACACGCCTTCTTATTCTAAATTTCGTTGTTTATTTCTAAAAATTGGAAATCAAATTTGGCAATAGTATTTTTTTCTCAAATTATTGAAATAAAGTAGTTAAGGAGGCTTGGGGTTAACAAATTATTGAAATTAACCATCAGATTTAACTTATTTTTTTATGATATCTAAAGCTGTCAAATATCATTTTGCAATACATTTAAGTTTTAAAACTAATTTTTTATATATGGTATCTTAAGCTGTCAACTATCATTTGACAAATAGAAATTTCATACAATTTAATTTTAAAATTTGATCATTTTTGTATATCTTTATATGGAGCTCTTCTTCTAAAAAAGGTCAAGACAGGAGGTCTGAAAATGGCCACAACCCCCAGCCCATTTAAGTAAAATATAGCTTTTTAAACTTTACCATTGCCATTAAATTGATCTATATAAGATAAGGAAAAAAATCTTTTTATCTATTAAATCCTGTTTTCCCATTTTAAATTTATTTTACAATTATGCTGAAAAAACTAAATTTTTTATAATATACTGTTTAAATATTCATATTACCTGTATCTTCATTGCATACTTGAAACTATTTCCTGGATCCAACTGAAGAGAAGGAATGGACAGATCCACTCAGATTCCAGGACATTTAAGCATTGTAAATTAAAATTAGAGCTAAGCCTTATTGATTTACAGGTTTGAGTAATAGACGAATCTATTTGATACAAACAGGGCTTGATTGTCGTTTCAAATATTTGCCTCCGCCGTAATTGATTGGTTAATTAAGCGGATCATCCAAAAACACTGACCATTGAAATCAATTTTAAAAGAAAACATCTTTGATGTTACAATAATACTTTTTTCTGCATTCATTACATTCAGTTAAAAGTTTTGTTTGGTTAAAGGACTACATTAGCAATGTTACAATAATACGCTCGTGGATCTGTAACATTTGAATTGTTTGTTTTGTTTTTCACAATTACATTTATGATATTGCAAAAAAACCTTTATGCATTATTAACAATAAAAATGTTAAGTTTTTTGCAGAACTACAAATAATGCCTTTATGTATCATTGACGGTAAAGCGTTTGCATGTTTAAAGACCTATATTTTTACATATCTTACAGACAATACAAGAAATTGATCTGTTAGGATAATGTGAGAAAGTAATAATAAAAGTATTTGTTCCATTAATTAAGATGCATTTACCGTTGGCATTCTTTGTCGTTTAATACACATGCAGAAATGTTGTTTTACAATGCAAAAGATCGACAGCTTTTAAAAAATACTTAATTGTAGACTGAATTAATTAGCAAGGAAAAAGATCGTTCACTGTTCAGACGCAGTGAATGCCGAGTATAGGGTTGGTATGAATAAAACTTCTAAAAATCATTTAGCAAATACTAAAATACAATTTTTAGCTGCTAAGCAAATTCGTAATTGAAATTTTACTTCTTGTTTATCATGCTTCATAAAAGGTTTCAGCTCTTTGTTTCTATGCTCAGTAAAGGATTTAAGTTAAAGGGGTCTTTACCTGTCTTTCTTGGCCTATGGCTAAAAATGCTGGAGTCGCCCATGTTATGCAAATTATCCCGCGTTTCCAACTCTCGTTGATGCTCTTACATACACTACAAACTAGACAGTAACTAGAAAACTGACCAGTCAGCAAGGGCCCCGCCATGGGGTAGAATTACAAGGGTGCAGCTTATGGAATGATTTAAAAATATATGACTAATAAGAAACAACAACTGTATTCTTAAAATTTCAAGATATTTCCTGAATATCCAAAAACCTGTAAATAATATCCTTCTATGTATTTTACATAAGGCAGTAAAGAACAACTCAACACTGAATGTATATCTAAACAATAATGAAGCTTGTGTTATATAAAATGCCAGCCTTCAATGAATGCAAATACATATCATGAAGGCTTGACCTTAACTTCAAAAACAAACGGCAGTTGCAGACAAAGGTTTTCATTAATCTTAAAGAGAAAGATAAAGATAAGCCTTCTAATTTTTCTGCAGCAGACTAGATAATTAATACCAAGGGATTAATTGTACTTCTCTCTCATCACCTTCTTCTTAATTTATAATAAGAACTTTTTCAGTGATGATAGAATGAGGTTTTTATCCTACTGCCTTAAAAATTAATACTCTTGAATTTTCATGAAGCAAAAAAAAAAAAGTAATAAAAATAAAATAAATAAATAAAAATATGTCTTCTTTAATCTATTTCTTGTTTTTAGAACTTAATGAAATCAGAACTCATTGTGTAGGGTATTTCAACAAAAATAAAGTAAAAACATTAATTTTATACTTCAATCAACATTTCAGAGTGTTCATAGCATTCCAAATGGACTTAACTTCAAAACAAACTTCATTTGCAGACAGAGGTGGTAATTAATCTCAATGTGACAGATAAAGATAATGCTTTGGATTTTCTTCAGGAGGAAAGCTAATTTATCTCTCTTTGCCAATTCATTATTATATAAAGTTAAAGAATCTACCCCACCACCCAAGCTCCAAACCAGAGGACATAGAGAAACAAACTTAGCATCAAAATATGTCTTTTTGCCTACTGAACTACCATACCAAATTTGAACTTAATTGGACTACAATAAAAAAGTTATTAGGAAAAAACAGAAAATTTGTGGACGGAAGAATGACAGACGGACAGACAGACAGACAGAGTGATTACTATAGGGCACCCGCAAATCCTTGCGGGGCCCTAATTACTTATAGAAATTCGTTTTACAGGTCCAACCGAGGATGTAGAGAGTTTTTGTCCTGGTTGTTTTACAAACACCCTTGGGCCCAGAGTAAATGGAATAACTGGTGAAGATCCCCGTACATACTTGATTGGTTTTGTATGTCTGTTGTTAAACATCCCTCGATATATTTCGGTAATTTTTGGAGACGCCACCATTTGTCGGTGGAGAGCTGCAAATCGCAATTTTAAAACCACAGCGTTTTCTTCTCGAATAAAAGATTTTGAATATGTTAATCATATCTCATCTGAATACAAGGAGGTCTGCTAATAAGGAGGCACGATTAGTACCCATGAGCTTCCCAACAACTTGATTAAGTCCTTGTCTCCAAAGCTAGAGAAATATTGTCCATCAGAACCTCAACGTTTTTTTGTTTTTTTTTTTTTTTTTTTTTGATATCGACGTCAGATTGTGTGCACAATCCAAGTGCAAGAAAATGATTCTGCAAATAATCAATGATACAAGAAGCAAATTTTCAAGTCCCATATTTACTGAAAAGTCGCTGTCAATGATGTCAAAAACCTGTGCCCCTTTTCACAAAAAAAATATTACGAAAAAGACTTCATTTTCATCACCCTGTAATTTTCTCCATAATAAAGATATATTTTCTTAGTTATCTACAATATACACATAAAAATTTAAATATGTTTAATAGAAAAATAAGATTTTTTCTAAAATAAGACCGTGAGGAAAAATAAAAGAAGAAGAACAATTAACAATCTTTTAAAATAAAACTTTAATGTAGGATATATCATCTCATAATTAAATTTTGATCACTAACAGCTGCTATAACATTGTAGGCAAAAGCATACTAACAAACTAACATAATCTAATTAAAAAATAAATACATTTATTCAGAAAAGCATTTACATTACCAGGTATAAAAAAGCAAACAGTTTCTGATAAAAAATAAGTACTGAGGAAGAAAAAACTAAAACTACGCTTTTATACAAAGTTACTTTTTGTGGCAATAAGCACTAAGGAAGGAATTATGAATTGACAAGATATCTACTAACATAGTAAAATATATAATTTTGTTATACTAACTAGCCAAAAAGGACCTTGTTTAGTCATGATGTTAAAAATATGATCTAGAAGAAATATTAGTCTTTATTTAAATAGTAATTTTAGAAGTTGGAAAAGTTAGAAGCTGTTTCAATAAAATCACTTTCCTGGTAACTTGTAACAAAGGAATGTATCTGGTAGGTATCTAAAATAAATCTGATATTTTAAAGGGACATTCACAAAGTATCAGCTAGAAAAAAATTTCTTTTTTCCACTTCTAATTTTACAATGCTTATAACTAGTGTATTTTTAATGATTATAAAAAATTTGACTGCCAGTTGTTGATATACAAGAGAGATTTACAGCTCCCATTCCTTTTTGTATGTGTGTGTAAACAAAGCACATGCCATGTCTTTGTTTACATAAGTTAAATATACTAATGTTCATTCAAAGCAGTATTTTTCTTTATAGTACACATTCCTGCTAAATACAATTAGCCTCCAATGGCTTGTTGAATCTTGTTTTGTTATAAACATGATATTTTCTATATGCAAACAAAAACAAGGCACGAGCCTTGTTAAAATTAAAAAGAATTTTAAGTTATGTATCTCATTTGTAAGTCAACAAATGACTTTCAAATTTTTGCTGATCATAAGAATTGCCTGATTTTAGAATTGTAAACATTAAAAATGTTAAAAAAATATATTCAATTGAACCCGTTTCCATGTCCCTTTAAAATAAAAAAAGAAGACAAAAAAAAGTATCACATTAATTTCAGCTCTATAGAAAAAATAATAATCATATTGATTCCATATTTAAATAGGACATCATATTCACGTACTTTCAAACATTAAATACTCAAAAACATCTAATAACCTTTTAACACTATGGCACAAATACAAAATAGCACTTCAAACACAGTCCATAATGATTTAAATAAGGACCTTTTCCAAATGGAAAGTTTTTCCCCCTTCTCTTTGAAAAAAAAACTTACAAAGGAT